TTACTGTGTGGTACAATTACTGAAAGAACAGAGACTTGCAGCCAAAGATTTAGTTGGTTATTACAAATCTGTACACAATACTCATTTTCTCCTTCTGCCTTGCTACTCAGTAGAGACTTTATTTAATACCGATTGCTTTAGGAGAATTGTGGCAAGAACATGGACCCTATGCATTCCCACTACTTAAATGACACATTCAAAAAGTCTAGGTAAAAATTTATCCTTCATTAGAGGAACCTTCCCTGTTTACCTACCTGTCCCTAGAGTCTGGTTGAATTTTCCAGACAACTAATACCATCATCTCCCTCATATGTGCAGTTCACTAGCACAGTTTTTCAACTGCCCCTCAGCAGTTAGCTCAGCAAAAGACAGCAGTGTACAGTAGACACACAGCTTTTTTAAGCCACACATTTATTAGATCAGCTGTGCTAAAGTACTGCACTGTAATTTCTGATTAACCCAAAATTATTTTTGCATAGGAGGACCCACGTATTCTAGATAGATCCTGGCAAGAACTACAAGCAATGAGTATAAACTTAACAATATGGGAAAGGAACCAACTAAGCTCAAGATTCACAAAAGATAAAAAAATAGACTTTTATAATACAGAAACGCAACTAGATAAGATATGGTTGAAAGGGAAAGATAAATTGATCCAAAAAATCTACAACTTCCTATTAGAAGAAGAATTAAAAGAGGAGTTGAAAAAACCGACAGCGATTAGTTGGGAAAAAGATCTAGGTCGAAACATAGAGGGAGCGGAATGGATAAAAACCTGGAAATCAATTAAACTATTGAGAGCAACCTCCTATAAAGAAAACATAATAAAAATGATACACAGGTGGCACTGGACCCCAGATAAACTACCGAGTAAGGATGATTTGACCAATATCCTCTATGAAGTAATCGAGATGGATAAGCTCAATATGTTTTTGGCGGGCAAAACAGAAGAACATTTTAATTTGAAATGGCAAAAAGCCATAAAATGGTACGAAGAAAGAGGTTGACTTAACCCCTAAATGTATGAAATTGTAACATGATTACATGTAAAGTTGGAAAACTCAAAATAAATTCATTTAAAAAATATATATATAAGAGCCCTGCTAGCTTAGATCAATCCATTCCCTGCAGTGCCTGGCCAGATGATGCCAAGAAGCCCACTTGCAGTAGTCATACCCTGCTGGTTGCCCTCTGCAGCTGGTATTCAAACAAATTCCATTCAGCTTTCTTGGCTAATCACTCAGATCTGTTTTCCATAGTTGTCCAGTCATAGCCTATGAAATAAAGAGAGCTGGGGGAGCTGGAATGACCGCTTGGACATCACACGCGAGAGGTGGAATTTGCCCCTAGATGTCCAAGGCCACCATCCTGGGGCTCAGGGAGGTGGGGGAACGTTCCCCCCCCGCGGCCGTTGCAGCTGCTGCCGACAGCGGCGGCGGTCATAACTTTTTAAAGAGCCCCTAACTAGAGCTGGGGGAGCCAGAATGACCTCTTGCGTGGTTCAACGCCACTCGGACATCACACGCAAGAGGTGGAATTTGCCACTAGAAGTCCAAGGCCACCACTCTGGGGCTCAGGGAGGCGGGGGAACATTTGCCTTCCCTGCCGCAGCCGTTGCAGCTGCCGCTGAAAGCAACGGCGGCCATAACTTTTTAAAGAGGCCCCAAGGAGAGCTGGGGGAGCCAGAATGACCTCTTGCGTGTGATGTCCGAGCTGCAATGCTCGGACACGCGGGAGGTGGAATTTGCCCCTAGGAGTCCAAGGCCACCACCCCGGGGCTCAGGGAGGCGGGGGGCGGCCATAACTTTTTAAAGAGCCCCTAACGAGAGCTGGGGGAGCCGGAATGACCTCTTGTGGGGGACATCACACGTGAGAGGTGGAATCTGCCCCTAGGAGTCCAAGGCTGCCACCCCGGGGCTCAGGGAGGCAGGGGACCGTTTCGCTTCGCCCCCCCTACCGCGGCCGTTGCAGCTGCCGCCAACAGCAACCGCGGCCATAACTTTTTAAAGAGCCCCTAACAATGGTTCAACGCCGCTCGGACATCACATGCGAAAGGTGGGATTTGCCACTAGAAGTCCAAGGCCATCACCCCGGGGCTCAGGGAGGCGGGGGGTGGCCAAAACTTTTTAAAGATCCCCTAACGAGAGCTGGGGGAGCCGGAATGACCTCTCGCGGGAGACATCACACGCGAGAGGTGGAATCTGCCCCTAGGAGTCCAAGGCTGCCACCCCGGGGCTCAGGAAGGTGGAGGAACGTTTCGCCCCCCCTTGCCACAGCCGTTGCAGCCGCGGCCGAAAGCAATGGTGGCCATAACTTTTTAAAGTTCAACGCCGCTCGGACATCACACGTGAGAGGTGGAATTTGCCACTGGAAGTCCAAGGCCACAACCCCGGGGCTCAGGAAGGTGGAGGAACGTTTCGCCCCCCCTTGCCACAGCCGTTGCAGCCGCGGCCGAAAGCAATGGTGGCCATAACTTTTTAAAGAGCCCCCAAGGAGAGCTGGGGGCGCCGGAATGACCTCTCGTGGGAGACATCACACGCGAGAGGTGGAATCTGCCCCTAGGAGTCCAAGGCTGCCACCCCGGGGCTCAGGGAGGCGGGGGAATGTTTCGCGTTGCCCCCCTGCCGCGGCTATTCCAGCTGCCGCCGACAGCAGCTGCGACCATAACTTTTTAAAGAGCCCCTAATGATGGTTCAACGCCGCTCGGACATCACATGCGAGAGGTGGAATGTGCCACTAGAAGTCCAAGGCCACCACCCCGGGGCTCAGGAAGGCGGGGGAACATTTCACACACCCCCACTGCGACCGTTGCAGCCACCGCTGACTGGCCATAAGTTTCCAATGAGCCTCCAAGGGTGGAATTTGCCACTAGAAGTCCAAGGCCACCACCTGGGGCTCAGGGAGGTGGGGGAACGTCTCCCCCCACCGCCGTGGCCGTTGCAGCTGCCGCTGAAAGCAACGTGGCCATAACTTTTAAAAGAGCCCTTAACAAGAGCTGTGGGAGCAGAAGAGCCCCTAACGATGGCTCAACGCCGCTCGGACATCACAGGCGAGAGGTGGAATTTGCCACTAGAAGTCCAAGGCCACCACCCCGGGGCTCAGGGAGGCGGGGGAGCGCCCCCCCCGCAGTCGTTGGAGCTGCCGTCGACAGTGACAGTGGCCATAACTTTTTAAAGAGCCCCTAACGAGATCTGGGGGAGCCGGAATGACCTCTTGCAAGAGACATCACACGCGAGAGGTGAAATCTGCCCCTTGGAGTCCAAGGCCGCCACCGTGGGGCTCAGGAAGGCGGGGGAACGTTTCGCTTAGCCCCCCCTGCCGCGGCCGTTGCAGCTGCCACCAACAGCAGCTGCAGCCATAATGTTTTAAAGAGCCCCTAACGAGATCTGGGGGAGCCGGAATGCCCTCTTGCAAGAGACATCACACGCGAGAGGTGGAATCTGCCCCTAGGTGTCCAAGGCCGCCACCCCGGGGCTCAGGGAGGCGGCCATATCTTTTAAAAGAGCCCCTAACGAGATCCGGGGGAGCCGGAATTACCTCTCTGCGAGACATCACACGCAAGAGGTGGAATCTGCCCCTAGGAGTCCAAGGCCGCCACCCCGGGGCTCAGGGAGGCGGCCATATCTTTTAAAAGAGCCCCTAACGAGATCCGGGGGAGCCGGAATTACCTCTCTGCGAGACATCACACGCAAGAGGTGGAATCTGCCCCTAGGAGTCCAAGGCCGCCACCCCGGGGCTCAGGGAGGCGGAAGAACGTTTCGCCCCGCCTGCCGCGGCCGTTGCAGCTGCTGCCAACAGCGACGGCGGCCATAACTTTTTAAATTCATAGGCTCCAAAATGGATTCTCTACTGGCCATATTATGTACTCCATTAACCCCTATGGGCAAGCATCCTCTCCATTATTCCTTATGGGTAGTCATGGATTCTCTATTTGTATTATGGATTCTCTATTAGCAATTATGTACTCCATTATCCCCTATGGGCAAGCGATCTCTCCATTACTCCCTATGGGCCGTCATGGATTATCTATTGGCAATTATGTACAGCACTATCCCCTCTGGGCAAGCGTACTCTCCATTATTCTCTATGGGCACTCATGTATTCCCTATGGGCAATCGGTGACCTTAGTTTTAGTACCTCCCATGAAATAACCTGGACAACCAGACCTGCAGTGTTTCAACTGTAGCTGTAAATAACGGCACCATAATTCTGAAAATTATTTTCCGTCCCCTGTCTAATAATCTGTAATAATGAAATTCTTTCCCGCTGTCTTTCCTAAACTAGTGCTGTGCTGTCACTGATCTAACAACCATTGTTGCCAAGGTCTATTTACAGAAGTTAACATCCACTTCAAATCTTATCCTATCAATGTTTATGTGAAAACTGAACAGGGGACGGTTTACCCCGATGCTCAGCAGTTTGTCCTAATTTATACAATACTCAGTAGAAGGATTATTTTAAGAGGCAATGGTGACAAAGATACGTGTGTATTTCACAGCAGCAAATCCTCCGCTATGACTGAGACTTTTACAAGTACAAATTCGATCAGGATAGAAAACTATGACAATTTCCTTCTCGGCAGAGCACAGACGCTTCAAAGAAAGAAACGCGAACGACTACAAGAGCTCCGACTTTGAAGCTAGCAAACGAGCGCCCCCTTGCCCTCTTCCTTAGATCTTTCCTTAGCTTTCTAGACCATAGAGGAGGGGAACACTGGCGGCCCAAAGCACTGTAATGAGCAAGCCGTCATTTAAACTCTATGGTCGCGCAGTCGCACTTCGTTGTTGCCATAACGATAGAAAAATGCTACAGCCGTACGTCGCCGCAATCCCTTTCTAGGTACTTCCGTCCTGAAAACGACTGGGTCTCCCACTCGCCTACAGCGACGCCATGCTGCACTCGTACTGAATCGCAGCTGAAAGGGGCGGTCAGCTTCCACCGGAAGTCCATGATGTGTGCCGGTCTACTATTTTATGGTTTTTGCGGCGAGGTCGCGCGGCTTTTTAAGATGGCGGCAGAGGCGAGAGCTTAGTGGGAGCAGCGGCTTCTGTGGGGCCCTCTCACTTGGCTGTGCCAGCCTCAGCATTTCCGGGTGAGTGGCGGGCGGGGGCGCTTTCACTCGGAGGCAGCCCCCCTCCCGGACTCAAGCCTTCTTCCCTTTTCGGCTCTCTCTTGTCTTGGGGCTAGTTTCATCACTGATAAAGCTATTATAGCCATTCATACTGAGCTGCCGTCTCCAATTTATAAAGAATTTCAGATTGTGTTGGGTTTTGGTGAGTGTAAGGAGTGTGTGCATGTGGGGGTGCATTATGTGGTATCTGTGAACTGAAAGTAGAGTGTCACAGTCTTGCTCTGATCAACTGATATCAAATGTCAAAGGCAAGAGTGTAACTGGAAAGAATGAAAACAAAGGGAGGCCCCGGTCACACGGGAGAGGCACGGATGGTGGGCAGATTATCCGGGCGCGATCACACTCCAGCATCTGGGAAGTGGAGCGCACCGATGGCTTACCGCCGACAATGCGCCTAAAAAAACTAGTACCTCCAAGGTAGTAGTAAATGTTTGCCACGGGCTGCCTCCAGACACCTGTGGTGTGATCACGCCAGCGCGCAGCATTCCCCTCCGGTCCCTCATTTACCCGCCGGCGCCGAGGGAAGGACTCGTGGTGTGCCGCCGGCGCGTCTGATCTTGTAATCGCGGATCAAACTGCACCAGGGCAATTAGCCACGCCTCCCCCCCCCGCAATATCTTGCCTGTGTGACCGGGGCCGGAGTCTTGTGGCACTTTAAAGGCAAACAAATTAACTGTAGTATAAGCTTTCGTGGGCTCTAGCCCACTTTTCCTGTGTTCCTGAGAATGATATCAGTCCATATAAAAACAGTACTTTTTGTGCCATTGCCATATTGTCTATGAATACCTTCTTATATTCATGGCTATCGAATAGATTGTGTGTCCCCAGTGTGGTGTCTGTGCATGCCATGGTGCCCGCTGACACCTTTCCTGGTGCCTGCCAAGTGGTTTTAGAAAGTGGATGAGATCAAGTGGAGCTTTTGCCCAGCAAGTTTTCTGATCGGCCATTGGTTGTGCAGATTTTAAACAGTGTTACTTTGGTAGCAGCGGCCACCACAGCACCACTGTATGATAGAAGGTAAGCTGAGGCAGCAATTTGATGGCTGGCTGCACCTCCCGCAGTAGCTATTTTATGGCTGCGCCAGAATTCCAAAGGTGATTGCAGGCTCAAACAAGATTGGGGATCCCTAGAATAGATCATGAGTTGCCTTTGGGAGGGTTGTGAAATGGCCACATGGTGCTGTGGAGTAGATGAGAAAATGAATGTATGCATTCTATATTAATACTGATATGCTGCTGAATTGTGTTTTTTCTCAGTTGTCACATTTCAATCAGTGGAACGGTGAAAGAAATAAACAGTCAAAATGGGGCGGAGGTCAACATCTTCCACCAAGAGTGGGAAGTTTATGAATCCCACCGATCAAGCTCGTAAGTGTTCAGAGAACTTCTGTAAAAGTAGTAGAGGATGCAGGGGAGAGAAGTGGTCCAAAATGTGTAGAATGTTGCATCAGACTGAGCGCTTTATTTTCTCTTAGTTGCATAGTGCAGAAATACATGTTAGGATGTCTATTAAGTATAGATTAAAAAAATAATAATTAAAAAGCAAACTCCAGAGAACAATGGAAGACAGGAGAGCCTGGCATGATATGGTCCATGGGGTCGTGAAGAGTCGGACTCGACTGTGTGACTGATCAACAATAGAAAAAAATCTAATATGCTTTCAGCTTAGATAAAATTCTCGTATCTTTCATAAAAGGAAGGAATATAATAGTTGTTTTTATAAATCTTGTAGATGATACTGGAAACATATAAACCGTTATAAATAGTATAGATGACTTGTCAGCTGCACAAGCTTTATGTAAATAGTTTCTCATTGTTAAGTGAAAGTATTTCCTCATCCAGCACTGAGTTACCCCAAGTTGACTGTCTTCATGAATTAGATTGCTTCCAGATGGTAAATTTCTTAACTTACTTGCAGTAAAGATAATTCTGGGAATGTGGAGTAATCGTAGATCAGGCAATGCTATGTATGTTTTCAGGTAGTATTTGTCAAGCCTTATTAACATAAATGTTCTCATTGGAAGGATGGTAAGACTGTCTTGCGTGGGTTTTTTTTATTTTAATGATTTTAAAATGTGATTTTATCATGTATGTTTTAAAAGCGGCTTCGGTGGCCCTTGTAAGGGCAGAAAAGTGGGATACAAATTTTGTAATAAAGAAAAAATAAAATATGAGCTTTAGTGAGAAATTAGCAATTTCACTACTTGTCAGTGTACTGTGGTGTTTGATGTTCCATACAGAACAGCTTCAAAAAAGAAAAGGCAATTATATCATGATTGTGTGGGGATAGGAAGCAACTTCTGCCTTTAATATAGTGTTGGAAGAGTGTAGTGTGTGTGAGTGCCAGGGCAGTGGCTAGAGTGTTGGACAAGGAACTGGGAGGACTCACGTTCATGTACTTGTTCTCCCCAAGTGTCTAGTGGGTGATCTTGGGCCAGTAACTCTCTCAATTTGATCTACCTCACAGGGTTGTTTTGGCAATAAAGTGTGGGAAGAACAATATACCCTGCCCTGAATTTCTTGAAAGAAGGGCCAGATAAAAGTGCATAGTTTTCTCATTGAAATGGGCTGTTGCTAGAATGCTGCAGCTGGCTCTGGCAGCAGAGTGAAGAGTAGATCACTTACAGAAGAGAGGTGTTTTTTTTTAAACTCTCCATGCTTCATTTCCAATGACTGATCAAGAAATGCAGGATGAAGAGGCTCTTTCATTTATCAAGAGATGACATAGGAACAGGGGCTGGAAGGTGGGCAAGTCATAATCTAATGAGAGAGGTATAACATTGGAACAAAATGTTTTCTAGGGTGGTGAACTGTATTCTTATTTACTTACAAATTTTATATCCCATTTTTCTGCTTTCACAAGATCTGCCAAAGTAGCTAACAATTTAAAACATACATTTTGAAACCATTAAAATCACCACCCAAACGCACATCATTTAAAAAATTAAGAACAGAGTTAAAATACATAAAAAGACATTAAAAATAGCAATTAAAACATTGGTCCACTTCATATATTATGCTTTGTCCTGCTTTGTATCTTTACAGGCAAGGAGGCCCGTAAAAGGGAGCTGAAGAAGGTGAGAGAGCATTACTTTATTAGTAAATGCACGTTGGAGTTCTTACGCTTGGTTATTATGTCCAGTATTTAACTGGGGTCTTGATAATGCTGTATTTTCATGTCCTGAACCCCCTCTTTGTCAAGTTTGCCTTGTCTATCTCTTTCAGAGGGGTGCTGGATTTGGTTACTAATGTTTTTCAGTCACAAGCATTTGATGGAAGGTAGTTAATTTTGCTCTTGTTTCAGTACAAATTTGTTTAACAAAGAAGGAGGGTTTAGAAAACATTTTACAATGACTAGCAAATACTGTAAGATCTCACAAAACCACAGATTTGAGGACAGTGAAGAGAGTAGTTTCAATTAAATGAGATTTATTCAGGAGTCTTAAAAATCTGAATGAAAAATCCTGTGAAAATGAAATGTGCAGTCTTCTCTTTGAGATGCCACAGCACTCTAAGATTGCTTAGACGTTTCAAGAGCCAAAATGAGGACTGATGCTCTTGGCTGGAGTTCTGTATGCTGCCCATCAAATGCAGTCTTTTCTTTCTGTCTTTATTTTTGTTGAATTTAGAACAAGAAGCAACGCATGATGGTGCGAGCAGCTGTGCTAAAAATGAAGGATCCCAAGCAAATCATTCGGGACATGGAAAAACTTGATGAAATGGGTGGGTATGAACAGGGCTTAAAAAAAAAAAAAGAGGTGCTGGAACTCTCAAGAGGGAAATGGAGTTTATACTGAAAACTCATGAACTTTTGAACACTTTAAAAAGAATTTTGTGGAAGAGGTTCTGGAGCTCAGTTCCCCCAGAAAAAAGGCCCTGGGTATGAATATGTCTCTTTTGCAGAGTTAAATGGCAGGAAGGTAACAAGTGGAAAAAGTCAGGAGATCAGAATGGCTTTGTGGAGTCAAGGGACTAGAAGACTGTATTAACAAGAGGATATGCTGATAGCACAAAAAGCGACAATACCATGTTATGTTCTGGAGAAAGGAGGAAGTGAGTGCAGTAACGGATCTCATTTCTGTCAAGAATTGGTAGCTGTTTTTACTCGAGTTAGATAATGGAGAAGATTTGGAAGCTTTTGTAGGAAAGGAGAAATTTGATATTCATGTCTTGGCCTGTGTTCTCTGTTGCTTGCAGACTTTGGGGGAAACTACAAACCTTCTCAGTCCTGCTCTTGACTTGCTTGTGTTATACATTTTTTATAGAGAAGGAGAGGGTGGGGGTGGTTCCTCCAGGTTTTCCTTGTAAATCTCTTTTCTTTCACTTGGCTGTCCTGGTCCTGCTATTACTGGATCAGAGTTTAACCCAGTACAGCAACCCCAACTAAATGAGAAGGTGTTGAAGGACAAGCGTAAGAAACTGCGTGAGACTTTTGAGCGTATTCTGCGGCTCTATGAGAAGGAGAATCCAGACATCTACAAGGAGTTGCGTAAACTAGAAGTGGAATATGAGCAGAAGAGATCTCAGCTCAGTCAGTACTTTGATGCTGTCAAGGTAATTTTCTCCATTTTGATGATAGCAGATTGAAATTGCAGTCCTTTTTGTTTTTATTTGTTTAAATTATTTTGCTCCACTTTATTTCCAAGGCAGATCCCCTCAAAACATATAAGAACAGCATAATAATAAAACTAATACAAACAACTACAGTATCAGGAGAAAAGGAGTATAAAATAGGTAGATAAAAATAGGCGATAGAAGCAATTTAAACAGCATCAGACATTAGATCAAATTTTTTAAAATTCCACGGCATTAAAAAAGTAGAATATTTTTAAAAACAATAAAAGCATACAGTTCAAAGTGCCTTATACAGTTACTTGGGAGAATGGGTCTAAAGTGTTTGGGAAAATAAGAAACTTTGCCTGTCATCTAAAACAATGTAATTTTGGCCCTGAGCAAGCTTTTGGGGGGAGCCTAGTTCTCATCACCAAAAAAGCACCTGGTGATCAGTCGTCTTACCTCTGAAGGCAGTCGTGCGTAGAACAAGACCTCTAACAATGATATCTTTTTGTGGATAGACTCATATTTAAGAATGCACTCTCTCAGGTACCCTTGGACCAGTAAAGTTTAAGAGGGGTGAGATTTGGAACCTGTCAACTATACTTGCTGGCTGCCTATACTTGGTGCATTTTAGACCTGTTAAAGATTCCAAACAGTCTTCATAGGCTAACCTGCAAAAGGTGGCATTGCAGTAGTCCAGACTGAAAGCTGCGTTAGCTGTATCATTGTCCTTCTGTTATCACATGCATGGCATGCTACAGCTCCCTGCTAACAGGTGCAAAACGGACAGTGGCTTGTATTTGAAAAGTGTCTATGCTCTGTGTGGTTTGGTGATGAGCCACAGCGGTTCCCCCTCCTCCATTTCCATTCTCCAAATTCACCAGTGGTTGAAAGCCTTTGTATGGCTTGCCATGTGGCATTTCTTTACCCCTGCTGTATCACTGACAATCTCCCTGCTGTAAGGAAGGCCGAGCGCCGAAGAATAGATTCTTTTGAACTATGGTGCTGGAGAAGACTCTTGAGAGTCCCATGGACTGCAAGAAGATCAAATCAGTCAATCCTAAAAGAAATCAACCCTGACTGTTCCCTGGAAGGCCAGATAATGAAACTGAAGCTCAAATACTTTGGCCACCAAATGAGAAGGGAGCACTCACTAGAGAAGATCCTGATGCTGGGAAAGATTGAAGGTCAAAGAAGACTGGGACGGCAAAGGATGAGATGGTTAGACAGTGTCATCGATGCAATGAACATGAAATTGAGCCAACTTCAGAGGACGGCAGAAGACAAGAGGGCCTGGCGTGTTCTGGTCCATGGGGTCGCGAAGAGTCGGACTCGACTGTGCGACTGAACAGCAACAACAACAAATATGCCATTGCCTGCTTGTTGTGTATTAGCCTTTGGTGAGGATTCACAGCTTGATATATGAAAGTCCTTGAGGCTCTTTATTAGTACAGGACTCTGTATAATCTATATTGTAAAAAGGAGGGTGTTATGTTTTCTCAGAAAGGGAGGCCTGTATTACTGTAGTTCAGCTCAGTTACCCAAATGTAAGAGAGCAACTTGCTGGAAGCCATCCTATTAGTCTCCAGCTGATTTGGGCTTCCATTTTGTGTTTTGAGCAGCCCTCTTAGACTGTCATAATTCTGTTACCTGTATGTGCATGCACTTGTTTTCAGCATTTATTGACCGCTTTCTGGGTGTTATCACCTGGGTTTCTAAAGCACTTATACATAACTTGAGAGTCTTGCCTTAAATATTTTGATGTCGAGAGTTGCTCCTGCTTGCTAGAACAAAATGTTCAGTGTTCCTATTTAGTCTTGAAGAAAATAAAAGCAGTCAGATTTTGGAACAAA